CTAGCTTTAAAAAGGAAATTTACTAAGCACATGGCCAAAAACTGGCTAACAAACAATAAAACTAGGTTTAAAAAGGAAATTTAGTAAGGCAAAGCCTATTTAGTAAGCATATGATAAAAAAAGTGACTAACAAAGCATTAAACAATATTAAAAACCTGTTTAGTAAGCACATAGCCAAAAGCTGGCTAAAAACATTAAAAGCTAGGCTTAAAAAGGAAATTTACTAAGCACATCATTAAAAAGTGAATAAAAAAGCATTCAGTATCAGGGGAGATTAAAAGCAAGAACAGAGGGAAGATAGAGAGCACATGACTGAATCGAAGAGAGAGAGAGATTTACCTTGCAAGTCTTTCTGTAAAATGAGGCAGCTGCACATTTTAGAAACTTTCAGCCTTGTTATCCTCACCTTTGGATTGGGCCAATCAGAGGTTGTTCTACAACGGCGTTATAGAGTTTATTTTCCTGAACCAATTTTATAGGCCCAAGATTCCCCCCCCTTTTAACAGCCTTATTCTTATCTAAAGAAACAGACCCCCCCCCAGCATTTTTCCTGCCATGTAGTTTTTTAGAAGGGGGGTTTCACAAAAGTTAGAACCATACGCTTTTAGTAACAAACAATTTTAAAAAGTTTTTTCCTAGGTTCTTTTTTTTTTTTAGAAAGCCCAATATAAAACAACAGGCTTTTGCAGCTGATAGCTGTGATCAGAAAGAAGAAGGCTGCTGTTTTACCTGCTTTTTAACAGACACAAGTTAGTTACATTAAGTTTTGTAATGGAATAAAGCTCTGCTTTATATTGACTTGAAAAGACACAGCCCTTTATTTACAGGGGTGTTTCAATAAAAGAGAGCAGGCAGAATTACCCCAGGTTTAAAACCCCAGGTTTTTAGTAACAGACAGTTTATATTTCCCTTATTTTGTTAACCCCTGGATCAGAGAGAAGAAGCTTGTTTTTTTTTACTTTTTAACAAAGAGAGACGAAAGTCTTGTAAAGGAATAAACCCTCGAAAAGATACACTCCTTTATTTAGTCCCATGGGCATAAGTGTTTTAATAAAAGGTAAGCCTGCAGAAACAGTTCAGGAATTAAAAACACAAAAAAGTTTTAGACTAACATGGTCAGTAAGAACAATGGGAAAAAAGAAGCCATTGTGATCAGAAATAAGAAAGCCCAAGGCCTGCTTTTAAAAGAAAATGATACCAAAGACTTGTACTAAAAAGAACAGTAACTTTAACTGTAAATAAGCTTACTATATAAAATAAAAACTTTTTAACCATTAAAGCTAAAGCCCAGGATTCCTGGCTTTTTTTTTCTTTAGAGGCCGCTTGCTCTGCTCTTATCTAAACAAACAGGACCCTGTAACAAATGCTGACCAACACATACCATAAACAATTGAATAAATTAAATTAAAGAATAAAGGCTGTAGCTTTTAAAGACTTTTGGTTACAGATATGTTAATGGGCATATTACCATTTACAGTGTCTTTTTATTAACTGTTTAAAGACACTTACGATAGAAAATAAGAACTTTTTAACCATTAAGGTTTAAAGAAGCTAAAGTATGTAGCCCCTTTCTTCCCCCGTACTCCCCCCTCCCCATCTTTTTTCCTAGAACAAATGACCCTTACACACCCTGGTTTTAAATGTTAGGGGGCCCCAAGCCCCTTTTTCAAAAGGTTTAAACCTATAAATAGGGACAGAAAACTGGACAAGGCTGTTAAAGAAACACCGCTGATACAAGCTTTTGGCATCATGGGAAGCAACAACATGGTAAGAAAAATGACTATGGTGTGTGTTACCCTTGCTTTATACCTGTGTTGTGCTTATTTAAAAGTTTATATATATATATATAAAAGGACAAGGCCTTTTTTCTTGACATACCAGATTCTGCACGAGAAGTTTTAAATTTTGGTAAGCTGCTAACACATTTATGGTTTATTTTTAAAAGAAATGGTTTTAAGGAGTTTAAGTTTTTTTTTAATTTAGAACAAGATGGAAGTCAAAACCAACAGACAGATTTTCCTGAGATTACAGAAGACGGTATGATTTGTTTTTAAATATGTGTTTGAAATAACAGCTATTAAAAATAGTGTACATTTTTTCTAGGGGTTTGCTGTTGTTAGTAAAAAAAAGAAACCACCTTTGCCCAGGGCCAGCTCCAGCATTTTTGCCACCCCAAGCGGCAAAAAAACCCCAACTTGCTGCCGAACGGGGAATCCTGCCCGCCGAACACAGGCCCGCTGGTGCCTGGAGCCGGCCCTGCCTTTGCCCCAAAGGTTTTACTGTAAAAAGAAAAGGAGGACTTGTGACACCTTAGAGACTAACAAATTTATTTGAGCATAAGGTCTAAGGTGCCACAAGTCCTCCTGTTCTTTTTGCGGATACAGACTAACACGGCTGCTGCTCTGATCCCTGTAAAAATGTTTTGTGGGCCGTTGTTGAGAATTTTGGAGCTATACTACCGCCATGTGGCATAAGAGGGAATAGCGCTTTCATATTTTACATTATATTTAGCGTGACGGGTTGGGTTATGTGAAATGTATATATGTAGGGGATATGTTTGTGGCTGTTAGTAAAAAGAACATACAGGTTTATGTGCTAAAAACATTTTGTTTATGTGTATTGATAGACTTATCAAGCGTTATCCCTGAAGAAGAAACGTTGAAGGGAACCAAGAAATTTCCCTCTGAATCAGTGACAGCTGGAAGCAAGGGTATTAGACACTTCGATTTGGAGCAGCCCAGCAGATCCAATTCCATTGTTACACAGAACCAACTGTCTTTAAAGAGGGCCAAAAATCTACCACTGAAACAGCAGCAGTTGGGAGCAAGGGGGTTAGACCGCCCCCGATTTTGAACCACCCTGCACCACCAGGGCCAAAAGATCGACCTCTGCAGCTTCCAAGGACACTAGTTAAGCGATCCAAAGGGATTAAAACCCCTAGTTCTCAACAACCCCAAGCCTTTACAGCCCCGAAGGAACCAGCTTTAAAAAGGGTAAAGGCAAACAATCCTGTAGCAGCCGCTGTGTCGAGGGGTGGGTTTGAGCAGAGTCAAGAGGCCAGCCCCCCCCGGCTTCTGGGCAAAGCAGAACCTCTGCTACAAATAAGAACCACCCCGTAGGCCTTGCAGTATCAGTTGTTGTTTGTAATGAGCTGCTTAGTGTTTGTATGTCTCCTAAGCATTTAATAGATAAAAAGTTTTTGAAGCTAATTCTTGAGGTGTTTCAAAAGCAAAATGCTCCAGAAGAAAGCGTGTTTTTGGACCAAAAGATAACAGAGACCCATGCACTGCTTGAAAAGTTGGAAAGCATGTTAAAGGGGGAAGGGAGGGTGTGACTAAACCTGAAACCTAAAAACATAAAGAGGGGTTGGAGGAAAAAATGGAAGAGATCTAAAAAATTGAGGAGGCTTTTGGCCAAAAAACTTTAAAAAGCCAGAGTTATTTTAAAAAAACAATCCCCCAACCAAGAAAGGGAAATAGACATAGACTCCCCAACCCCCTCTTCTGAAGGTCCAGATTCTCCCGCTCCTAATATACCACCTCCAGTGTATTTGGAACATGTAAGACACTGGATAAGACCCTGAAGAGAGTTTAATGCTTATGAATATTTTCAAGAATTTCGTTTCACTAATTTGGACAGAGTAATGGGGTTTACAGAGGCCATGGCGGCCATTGACACCGCTATTCAAAATTTGCTAGATGATATTAATAATCAGGTGGGCCCTGAAGATTTTGTAAAGCTAAGCTTAGATGCCCCGGGGCTAAATCACCCTCTCTTTTCTTTATGGAAGCCTTGGGAAGATTAAACACCGTAGATTTTTTAAATAACATCATTACGGTGTTGCAAAGTAATGCTGAGATTGTGGGGTCCTGAACTCTAAGGCTGGTTGTTACGATTATTAGAAACAGGACTGGTGGAGGTGGGGTTGTAAGACCCTTGAAAACTATCACATACAGTAAAATCATCGGGAAAAAAAGAAAACATTTAATTGATTTAAATAACCAAGGTAACAATCTGTGTTTTGCTGGGTCTTTTATCAGATGAAAAACTTACAGATGCCCAACTATTAGAAGGGGCTGGACATTTCCATCAGGAGTTGGGGTTTTCGGACCAAAAACCGATTAGCTTTATGGACGTGAGCTCTTTTGAAGAGCGCTTAGGCGCGGCTATTACCGTTATGTATCATGAAAATGGAAATTGGTGTTTTTTTTACAACAGCTCGTGTACAACGCCCCAAAACTGTTTTTGTTCTGTTACATGACAAACATTATTATGGCATCCTAAATATTAAAGCCTTTATAGGCGCGCTGTATTTGTGCAGCTGCTGTTACGCCACGTGCAGCCACAAACATCAGCACGCCTGTAAAAATCACTGTCATGTGTGTAATAGCGCTAAGTGGCCACTGAAAAAAAGAGATGCCCCAGCGGTAAGCTATTTTTCAGGTCCGAGGCCTGTTTAGAAAGGCCCAGCGCGCGGGCAAAAGATGGTAAAGTTGATTGTAAAAACAGAAATCTTTGCAATAAGTGTGGCTTCTACGAGGTTAAAAATCACAAGTGTAAAAGCAAAAAATGTCCCCAGTGCTATCAGAAGACCGACAACATAGAGGGTCACGAATGTTCTATGCGTAATATTTGGTCTCCAGAAGAGGGGAAGGATTATGTGTTTTATGATTTTGAATGCATGCAAGAAATGGGGGTACACGTGCCAAAGTCTGTTTATGCCTTGCACCTATATAAAGAAACCAGCTGGGAATTTAAAGGTGAAGAATGCGCTAACGAGTTTATTCGAACCTTTGTAGACAAACACTTTAAGGGATACACATTTATCATTCATAACGCTAAAGGTTACGATTGTTATTTTATCCTTAGACAGTTGATTAAAGAAAAAAATGGCCGTCAGCCCCGTAACACAAGGGGGGAAACTAATGTGCGTAACGGTGGTGGACTTAGTCATCAGATTTATAGATTCTTTAAATTTTCTTTCCATGAAACTTAGCAAGTTACCCAAAGCTATGGGGTTTGAGGAAGTCAAGGGGTACTTTCCACAATTTTTTAACACAGTTGAAAATCAGAACTATGTGGGGCCTATGCCCGGGATAAAGTACTTTGGAGTTCGCAAAAAGAAAAGGAGTACTTGTGGCACCTTAGAGACTAACCAATTTATTTGAGCATAAGCTTTCGTGAGCTACAGCTCACTTCATCGGATGCATACTGTGGAAAGTATAGAAGATCTTTTTATATACACACAAAGCATGAAAAAATACCTCTTCCCACCCCACTCTCCTGCTGGTAATAGCTTATCTAAAGTGATCACTCTCCTTACAATGTGTATGATAATCAAGTTGGGCCATTTCCAGCACAAATCCAGGTTTTCTCACCCCCCCCCCCCCACACACACACAAACCCACTCTCCTGCTGGTAATAGCTTATCTAAAGTGACTACTCTCCTTACAATGTGTATGATAATCAAGGTGGGCCGTTTCCAGCACAAATCCAGGGTTTAACAAGAATGTCTGGGGAGGGGGATAGGAAAAAACAAGGGGAAATAGGTTACCTTGCATAATGACTTAGCCATTCCCAGTCTCTATTCAAGCCTAAGTTAATTGTATCCAATTTGCAAATGAATTCCAATTCAACAGTTTCTCGCTGGAGTCTGGATTTGAAGTTTTTTTGTTGTAATATAGCATCTTTCATGTCTGTAATCGCGTGACCAGAGAGATTGAAGTGTTCTCCGACTAGTTTATGAATGTTATATTTTGCATCTGTTTGTGTCCCTTTAAAAGAATAAACAGTCGGAGACCTCGTCTCTGTCCCACAGACAGAAGTTCTATTATAACAAAAACTAAACCAGCCCGAAACTGTTGAATTGGAATTCTTTGCAAATTGGATCAATTACCGAAAGAGACGGAGTCTAAGTCTTATCAATAACCTATTTCCCCTTGTTTTTTCCTACCCCCTCCCCCCACCCCTCAGACATTCTTGTTAAACCCTGGATTTGTGCTGGAAACCCCACCTGATTATCATCACTGAAGGAGGTGGTCCTTAGATAAGCTTACCAGCAGGAGAGTGGGTTTGTGTGGGGGGGAGGGGGGTGAGAAAACCGGTTTGGTGGAAAGCCCAACGATTACATACATATTGTAAGGAGAGTGATCCTTTAGATAAGCTATTACCAGCAGGAGAGTGGGGTGGGAGGAGGTATTTTTTCATGCTGTGTGTATATAAAAGTCTTCTACACTTCCACAGTATGCACCATGAAGTGAGCTGTAGCTCACAAAGCTTACTCAAATAAATTGGTTAGTCTCTAGGTGCCACAAGTCTCCTTTTCTTTTGCGAATACAGACTAACACCTTTACTCTGAAACCTGATACTTTGGAGTTGAATTCACGATGCCTGAAGAAAAAAAGGAATTTCTGAACTGGTACCAACACAATCACCAGAACAAATTGTCCCAGAAAAACTCCTATATTGTCAAAAGATGTTGAAATTTTGCCGCTTGCACGTTCAGAAATGAAGTCATAAAAATGACAGAGAAGCAGATTGTTAAAAGCCCAGGACAGGATGATGTGGAGGTGGTCACTGAGTATATAGACCCCTTTCAGTACCTTACATTAGCCTCGATTTGCATGGCCATGTACCGGTTTAATTTTTTAAAACCGCGAACGATAGCCCTTCTGCCATTCTGCTGTTGCAAACCGAATCTCCGCTCTTAGGTTTCCAGTTGTAATCAGAGAATAATGATCGGCCCACTCCTGGTCCAAGGTCAGATCGAAAGCGTACTGCATATAGCCCTGGGCAAATTCACCATGGTCAATCAAGAGCAAGCGGTCTTTTACATATTTCCCAGTCGCCTGCACCAGCTGCATGTACTCCCTCACACAGTTTCCAGTCTCAAAATCGGGTTGTAGGGGTTTCGCCGGCACCTGTTTGCCATCCACATACAAGGCCACAAAATTAATGTTATAGTGTTTAAAGTTAAAAGGGTTTTTTACGTAGCTGCCACTGAAGGCCTCGTTATCTATAAAACCGATTACAAGCTGTTTGGGTAACTGTCCCAAAAAGAGGTTTTCCTGGTTACTGACATGACTGCTGGCTGGAATGCTAAAAACCTTTATGCCCACCCTGTCTACCACTCTTAGCATGGCGTCATTAGCTTCAGCCCCCAAACGACCCCCAGGGTCCTTTTACCCTTTTACAAACAGGGACACGAAATAATGTGAACTTTATAATTCGGTCACATCCCTGCTCAGGAGGCAAAAGACATCTTGGCTACGCATCAGTTTAATTTTCAAGTCCACGCTGTTCAGCAATCGTTTTTCTTGACAAAACAAATTGCTGTGTAGAGACCCCAACAGATCCAGCTTCCTGCTGCCTTCCGTTAGTCTGGCCCTGTGCACAAACCCCTCAATAGTCGTGCCGACCAAAGGGGTGCTTTCGTGGGTCCCCGCCGTGTCTTTATGAAACCCTCCTGTCGAAAACTGCGTAGTGAGGGTGTCATGGCTGTAGTTTAAAATCAGCTCTATCAAGGCTCTGTAAGAGTAACCATTGTTGCTCTGACTGATGAGATGGTCACCTAGAGTAACATCCAGCTTGTTAAAACGGGTGGCAATGGGGTAGTTTGTTAGGGCAATCCTGGCGTCGTCATCAATGTCTGGCCCATCTTCTTTTACCACCTTGCAGCACACGTACAGCAGCATGTTGTTAAGGTCTAAGTAATGATCCCCGGGCCCCGAAATAAAAAATTCTAGAGGGGCATTGACCGTTAAAGCAGCCAAAGGTGGCACCTCTACATACAAGCTATTCTTGATACTGGTTTGTGTGGGGGCTATTAGAAATAAATCCAGTTCCTATTTGGTGCATTCGTCAGAGCCACAATGAATAAAAGCCATTTAAAATATATCCCTTCTACCATGGGCGACGCGCCGCTTCCTCTTTTTAGGGCAGCTTTTAGGTTTATGGCTAACACATCTTTAGGCAGCTTTTTTTTTAAAGGGCCTAGGAGGCCCTTTCAACGGCTGGCGCAATGCTGGTCTTTTTCTCCTCATCACCACTAAACTGGAACCTTCCTGTGGCTCGTGCACTCCTATTTTGTTTATAACGGCGCTTGACACGTGGTTCACTATGTCTCTGGTTATATTTTTGAGGCTGTTTTCATGTGGGGTTTAATAATTTCAAATCCCCTTCTCAAAAGCAGCATGGCTTTTCTAAAAAGACTGTGAAATATCCCTCCTAAACCGGCCCTGTACATAACAGGTAATCCTTGAAATCCCAGTGAGGCATAACCAGCCTGGGCCTTGTAGTAATTCCTATACAAAATGGGGTCCCCGTAGTTTTTTATTGTCACCATTCTTCAACTTTCCTGGGGCCCAAATGCAGTTTAACAATCACCTTCGCAAAACTAAATGAAACAGGTTTATTCTGATCCATCTTTATTTCAATAGTAATGGTACCAAATAATGAAATTACAGCAGAGAGTGCTGAGAACGCTCCCACGTCACACAGGGGAAGAAAGCAAGCATTAATGCCCCAAGCTCTAACCCACTTTCATCCTCACACACACACACGACCCAGACTGGCCAAGTCTGGGTGTAACGTCAGAAGAAGAAGAAGAAAGGTGGGGGAGGTGGATGGGAGTGCTGTCCTGGGCACAGGCCATCCAAGGATCTGCTGTGCTCTCCCAGTTACTCCAGCTCTCAAGAGGGTTTTAAGTCCTGGCTCCTCGGGGGGTGGGGGGCGGTGTTCTCTGCTCCTGGTGCCCTCTGTGCCAGTCCAAGCCGGCTGTTTGTGGGCTCTTCAGCTTCCCAAAACACCTTGGCTTCAGGGACGCAAGGCTTGGCTCCGTCTTGCCGGCGTTTTCCATCTCTGCCGTCTTAGACTTTGTTTTCTTCTGTGCTGGCCTTGCTGTCTTGCAGATCTGTGCAGTTGGAATCTTCGTTCTCACGGGTGCTCGAGCACCTGCAAGCCCCTGTTTTTCTAGGCCGTCAGCCAAGTCTTGGCTGTGAACAGTATCCTTGGGCGGGGGCCAGCATCTTTATCTTCGCACTGAGCTAGCGCTCCAGGCTTGAGTTAACTCGTTCTCTGCTCTCTTTTTCCTCTCCCCCCCTCGGCCTCTCGTGATCTACAAAGGAAACTTCCACTCCCCACTCGCACACCTTTGACCCTCCCCAAAATGCTTTGCGATGCTTGCAACAGCGTTAGCAATATACATTGCTGATCTGCCTTCCCAAAGGACTCCCCGAGGGAGGGGGCCATTGGGTTGTGACACTAGCGGCCAGTTGGGGTGTGTGGGCCACCACCCAGGGGGTGGTGGCGGCCAGGTAGGGGGACCTGGGCCCTCCCTGCTCCATCGAGTCCCAGCCCTGAGCCCTGTCAGGGTATGTCTACGCTTACTGTGGATCGACGCTGCAGCGATCGAGCCACCGGGGGTCAATTTAGTGGGTCTACCCACAAAATCGACTGCAGACCGCCCTCCTGTCAACTTCAGTACTCCACCGGAAAGAGAAGCGTAAGGTAAGTTGATGGGAGAGTTTTTCCCGTTGACCCAGCGCGGTGTAGACACTGCAATAAGTCGACCTAAGCTACATCGACTCCACCTACGTTATTCACGTAGCTGAAGTTGCGTAACGTAGGTTGACTTAACCCTGCGGAGCAGACCTGCCCTTAGTGTCGAGTGTGTCTGCCACTGGGTCAGCAGGGATCCGCCAGCAAACGTAGACCATCATCAGGACAATGGCTAGTCCCCCACGCCCTGGGCTACTTCCTACTATGTTACTCCTGGTGGTGGTGTGTACGTCTTTGGGGTCTCCAGGTTCCTCAGCTGGTGCAACTCCCTGTAGCTCAGACCTCCCTGGGGCATCCACAGGTAGCTGGGCATCTGCTAGGGTCTCAGCGCCTCTGACTTCTGCAGTCCAGGGCTCCCCTGGTTCCTGTGCCGGAGCCGGCAAGGCGCATCCTTCCTCTCTGGTGGTGAGCTGCGCCCTCTTACACTGGTGCTCATAGGCGCCGACTCTGTGGGTGCTGCGGGGCTGGAGCACCCATGGGGAAAAATTAGTGGGTGCTCTGCACCCACCGGCAGCCAAGCTCCCTGCGCCCCCACCCCCTCCTCGCCTCCTCCTCCCCCCAGTGATCTGCGTCCCCACTCCTCCCCCTCCCAGCGATTCCCACCCACCGCCTAACAGCTGTTTGGCGGCGCTTAGGACTTTCTGGGAGGGAGGGTGAAGAGTGGGGACGCAGTGCGCTCTGGGGAGGAGGTGGTAAAGAGGCGGGGCAGAGGCGGGGACTTGGGGAAGGGGGTGGAATTGGGGTGTGGCGGGGCGGAGCCGGGGGGGGTTGAGCCCTGGGGCAGAGGGGAAGTTGGCGCCTAGCTACACCTGAACCATGCCCAGTAGGAATGTGGGGGCGGGGCTTCCTCCGCCCACATTGAGGAGTTAACCCTTCCCTGTCCAGTGCGGGGTGAGTTCACACCGTCACAGGTGACCATACGTCCCGTTTTGGCTGGGATAGTCCCTTATTTAAGCCCTGTCCTGGCCGTCCCGACTGTTTTTTGGCCACAGTCGATCAGTTGGCAAGAGCAAATGGGACAAATGCCCACTTTTGTCAACAAAGTGGGGTGCAGAGGCATGTGGGGGGGGGTGGTGATGCCAGCCCCACGCGGGAGGGGGGTAGCTGGACACGGGGGGGGGCAGGGCTCAGGCAAGCAGCGACGCCAGCCCCATGCGGAGAGTGGGGTGTGCTCGGGAGAGCGGGGGGGGCGGCTGGGGCGAGCGGCTCAGGCCAGTCAAGTATGGGGGGGGGGGCTCGGGCTAGCCCCACACGGGGTGTCCCATTTCCCCTCGGAGAGCCACGAGCCCAGCCCGGCCCTGCCCCCGCGGACAGCCCCGCCCTCGATCCCTTTCTGGGAGTGACGAGCGGGAAATGCCCGCGGGGTGGGGCGAAGGGACCTGGGCCGGGAGGCCGCTGTGGAAACCGCTTCCCAGAAGGGCCGGGAGGCGGCGGGCAGGGCCGGCACCGGCACCGGCACCAGCATGGGGGAGCCGCTGAAGCGGCTGCTGCGGTCCCTGGACAAGAAGGGCCAGCGGGAGCTGCAGCGCTTCAGCAAGAGGGTGGAGAAGTGCCTGGTGAGGGAGGGGGAGAAGCTCATGGCCGAGAACAAGCCGGAGGGAGGGGCGGAGCCGGCCGCGGAGGTTAACGACCGGAGGGACAGCGCCGAGCACGGCGGGCTGGACGCGGCCGTGAAGGCGCTGATAGACCCGGACCGCATCAGAGACCTGGCAGGGGCACTCGGCACAGACGGTACAGAGAGATGGGGGAATCCCCACTGCTCCTCCCCACCCCCGGCCCCCTTATTTCTGGGCACAACTAAATCCCCCCCCTCGCGGGGGTCTCTGGGAGCGGGAAACAACCCCCAATCTGCCTTTCTTTCCAGTCTTTTCCAGGCTGGGATTCCGCCCCCGCTTTCACTTTCATTCTCTTCTCATACCAGCCCCCCTCCCCTCCTTCCTTGCCGCTCCCCTGCTCCGTTCCGGCCACATCCTGAGCTGGTGGGACAATTTACACCTGGGAAGAATCTGCTCCCCACCCCCACCTCATGTGTAAAAAGCAAGAGAGGGTTGTTGATCCATTGGCAAAAACCCCTGCAGCCCCCCCCCCACCCCACAAAACACACACAAATTGTTATTCCTTTAACATCATTTCGCCAAGCAAAACTAACTCAGCCCCTGGGACCTGCAGCACCCCCCTCCCCCCAAAACCAGTTGAGCGCTCACCAGCTCACACTGATTGCTCACTCGTTGGAGGCAGGGAGGCTCTTTTTGTTCTGGGTTTTGTACAGTGCCTGGCGCAATGGGGGCTTGGTCTGTGGCTGGGCCTCCCCCGTGCAAACATGCCAACAGTCATGAATGTATTGCGAGAGATGTAATTTCTAGGTAAAATTAAGCCTCGCTCATGATCTCGCGGTAGAATTCTGTTTTCAGCCCCAAGTGGCTGGGCTCCCGTTCTCAGCCCCGCAAGGAGGGACTCCTGGAGAGCCCTCTTCATGGGGCCGAGAGTGCTCTGTGGGGTGTTTTAGGTCAAGTAAGTGAGAGAATCTCTCCACCCAAACTGCAGGTTAACAAAGTTGTTTGTTTTTAAATGGGAAATTTCCTTAGGTTTTTTTTTATTAATCATGAATCATTCCATGTGCTCCATGACAGGTGTCCAACACAGGCCTTGCAGACTGCACCAGAATGAACCCTATTCCTTCCCAGTGGACTCCTTTCCACTGCCGTATCTGTCCTCCTTCCATCCCGTTCCCTGGACCAGACACCGCCCCCCTCTCCCCCGGCCCCATTTGTAGTAGGTCTGGGCAGCGTTCACTTGAAAGAAAATATGATAGTTAGAACAAGGTCAAGGAGCAAGTCTAACTGAGGGTCAGAAGCATCTGCTTTAGCCTTCTGGACCCCTGTTTCTCTGCCATTATGGATCCTTCTCCCTTTGCCCCTGACTCTCCCCCACGCCGATATCTCACTCACACTCCTGTTCTGGCCTCGAAGAACTACGTTTGTCCTCTGTGTGTATGTGTGGGGAGGAGGTGAGCCGTGCTGTGAGCTGACCACAGGTCCGAGACTGATTTCCCCCTTTTTTCTCCAGTGCCCCCTGGATCTGCAGCCACTGCTGTGCAGAGCGAGCCCCTTCCTGCTGGTGCCACAGCCGGAGCAGCCGGTGAGTGGGGTGCAAATCAAGAGGTGCGTGAAAGGCTCTGAAAGGAGGATTCCTTCCCCCCAGCCCGGGACAGATCATTCCCTTTCCAAATCCCAGGCTTGGAGACATCTGGGGCAGCTTTGGCTCAGGGCTCTTCCCCAGCCCCCTAGATTTTTGTGGGGAACTATCACCCCTATTTCTTCCTGCCGTGCACTGGTGGCAAACGGCAGAGTGCCCCACTCCTCATTTGTGCCCTTCGCTGGCTCCTGTAGAAAGAGGCAAGGTGAAGATTTTTTTCCTATCTAGTGAACTGAGATGTAATGTAAGTGCCTTCAGGCAGGGAGCTCTGTGTCTGGTAGCACCATGGCAAGTGCTGGGGGGATAAGGCTCCCCGTGAGTGGTCTCTGCCCTTTCCAGCTCTGAGCCGCGACTCGCTCTGTAGCATTCACACTTCCTCTCTGTCTCATTTGCTCCAGAGTCCCCTCCCACTGTGATTCCTGACTCTGAGCAGCTGGAAATTCTCCCTTTGGACAATGCAGAGGGACACACAGGTCAGTAGCTCCCTTGTTGCAGTGCTTACATTCTCCTGGAGTCCTCCAGGCTCATTCCCCCATCCCATTCGGGGCTCAATGCTTCAGGGCTTGGGCTTTCAGTTCCACAGGAGGTGCCTGGGCTTATGGCTCTGGGCTTCAGCTGTGGGGCCCCAGGGACCCCCTGAAACCAGCTTGAGGCCCCCCAGAGAGCCGGGATCCCAGATTGAGAGCCAACAGCATCAGGCTGGAGTCAAGGGAAAATATTTACTGGAGCTCCCCTCCGGACAGCTGAATTTAAGCCCTGCCTTTGTGGATTCAGCAGGTAGTGTGGTGTGGGGCTGAGCAGAGAGGGCTGGGTCCCCTTCTCCACCCAACAGAGATCCATGTTGGAGTCCAGAGATGCCAAGCCCTCCTGGAATGTAATGATGGCACATAGGAACTGCCCTGATGGGCCCATCTACCCTGGTATCCTGCCTCCTCCATGCCACTCTGGATCAAATCATTGGGCCAGTCTAAACTGTATCTTGCCCCTTCCCTACAACCCCAAATCAGATCAATGGGCCCAACTCCAATAGTGGCCATTAGCAGATGCTACAGATGGAAGCCCCACTCCGGGGCAAGATTTCTCCTTCCCTCTCTCTCTATCCATTTGACTTCTCAGTTGTCCTGCGGCACCCGGAGGTGTCAGAAATATTCCAGTCTCAGCCACTGGTGGAGGGCAGCCATGTGGCCTTCAGCTGCTTCATCGCAGGGTACTTCCCCCAGGAGCTAACTGTGACCTGGCTCAGGAGGGAGAGTGGAGAGAGTGTGGCCACGCCCATCAAGGACTCCGCTGATTATGCCATCATCCCCAAGGAGACCTGTGCCAAAGACAGGGAGACCTACCAGCAGATGGTGACGCTCTCCTTCACCCCATCGGTGCAGAGAGACCAAGGGGCAGAGTTCATCTGCCAGGTGGGACATGTGACCCTGCAGACCCCCATTGAGAGGAGCACTGGGACACTGGAGGTCAAAGGTCAGTCTGAATTTAAAGGTGGAGAGCGATTGCCCATGGGTTGTTTGGGGTTTCCTTTCTCCTAATGTGTGTATCTGTCTCCAGCCCTAGATCCTAGTACACTGGTCTGTCTTCCCAGGCCCTAGCCAGCCAGCCAAAACCTGAAATATTTCAATTTGGGTATAACTTATGGGAGTTGCAGTTCACTTGCCTCATCCCCATTCTCCTAGACCCCAGCTTGCTGGTCTGGATCATACGTCAGGCGCCAGTCACTGTAGCGCTTAGTAGCTTTAGTACCTGACCCTGGAAATAAATAAGTCACTCATCGTTGAGCTCCTATTGCTGGCAGCTGGGAGCAATCCCAGTCCCTTCACTGAGGCTTCTCCCAGCAGCAAGCGCTGCGCCAGGTGATACCCCAGTGAGGTTTTGCAGGATGAGGCCCCGTATCTGTGGTTTCCTCCCACTCTAGCCCTGAACTGGGATCGGCTCTTTGGGAACACCCCCCACCCACCCCTGTCACTTTCTCCAGATTCACCTGCCACAGAACCCTGACTCCATGCAGCTTGATGATGCAGAGGGTCACACAGGTCCCTTGGTGGATTCAGCAGACACCCATGTGGAGCTGAGCAGAGAGGGCTGGTTTCCCTTCCCCTCCCCAATAGAGATCCATAATGGGGTCCAGAGAGCCCTCAAGCTCTCCTGGAATAAAATGAAGGCACATAGGAACTGCTGCTCCAGATCCAACCAATGGGCCCATCTAGCCTGGTATCTCGGCTTCTTCCTGCTGCCCTGAATCAGACCCATGGGTCCATCTAGCTCAGTATCCCACCTCTCCCTGCTGCCCTGGATCAGACCCATGGGTCCATGCTCTTTGGGGCAGGGCTCATCTTCTTGTTCTGTGAGTGTACATTGCCTAGAGCAAAGGGTCTTGGTCCATGAGTGGCGTTCCTGAGCAAAGTAATTCACAATAATCTCAGGTCCTGACTTTTCCTGGGACCTTCTAAAGTTCTGCGTAGCTGGGGTGAGTCCAGAAGTCCAGACCAGGAAAAATATTGGGAAGCAAGGACCTGAAATTTTTAATTTTAAGAATACAGGCAGGGTTGGGGTCCCCCAAAGAAACGCGATGGCCGGCTTTAGCCAGGGTGCCGGGAAAGTAACAGCACAAACGTGTGTTTTTGCTGAGCCTTTCACCTCTGTACCTGACGAGAAATCCAATACGAGCAGAAAGGACTATTACTCTAACCTCCCCCTGGTGATATAGCTTCTGTAAAGTCCTCTCCTGGGTCTCTAACTCTGTTTCCTGGGGTCTCTGAACAGGTGTCGCTACCCCCAACGCCAAGGAAGTTGCCCCCGACACCAGGGAAGTTACTCCTGTTTCCAAGGAAGTTACTCCTGTTTTCAAAGAAGTTGCCCCCGACTCCAAGGAAGTTACTCCTGTTTCTAAGGAAGTTGCCCCCGACACCAGGGGAGTTACTCCTGTTTCCAAGGAAGTTACTCCTGTTTTCAAAGAAGTTGCCCCCGACTCCAAGGAAGTTACTCCTGTTTCTAAGGAAGTTGCCCCCGACACCAGGGGAGTTACTCCTGTTTCCAAGGAAGTTACTCCTGTTTCTAAGGAAGTTGCCCCCGACACCAGGGGAGTTACTCCTTTTTCCAAAGAAGTTACCCCTGACTCCAGGGAATTTAAGTCCATTTCCAGGGAAGACAGAGAAAACGCAGCTGGTGGAAAAGGTGAGTGGCAAGGTTAGCTGGGCAAGGTCTTTATATTACATTGAAGAGAGCTGAATGGAGGGTGGGGCGCAAGGTAGATGGGCCCAGGAGTGCGTGTCCAGCTCCGGGTTAGGCTGCAGCTTGGGGTCAAAGGCCAAATCAGGGTGAAGCCAGGTTCCACGGTGCCAGAGTTTTGCCAGTGGCTCTCCCTTGATTTTCTACCTGAATCTTGGGCCAGATTTAAACCCAGTGATGAAAACAGGCCCCTCCCAGGTTTGGATCTGACTCAAATCTTGGCTGTGGATTTGAACCCAAAGGGGCTGAGGCTTAAGGTTCCTTTTGGACCCAACTTTTAGAAACACCATTGTTGTGAGCCAAAACTGAACCTTTGGACCCCAAGATAGTGGCATCTCAAATCCCATATCATCTTGGTTTGGAATGGAGTGGAGAGGGGCTGATGTGGATGTGAAGGAGGCCGAAGGGGATAAAGACCTGGAGAAAGCTTTTGTGGACAGAGGAAAGGGCAGATCTCAGAGACACTGAGGAGGAAGACAAGGCAAGATTTGGCACTGCCTGGATATGAGGGTGTTGAGAGAAGGAGTGAGTCAAAGATGCAGTCAGGTCAGAGGCTGGAGTGGCAAGGAGGATGGTGGTGCTGTCAATAGAGGCAGAGAACAGAGGGCCTCGCAGGGGAGATCTGGTTGGCCAATGTGAGCTGACAGCGAGGTATCCAGGAGGAGGCTTCAGAGAGACAGGACTGAGAGCAGCAAATGGGTTGGAGTGGGAACAAGAGCAGAGATTTGAGAGTCATAGGCATGAAGATAGCAGCCAAAGCCATGTGTACAGTTCAGAGCAGGGAGAAAAGGAGGGCACAAAGGAGGGATCCTCTCAGTGAGAAGTGGGAGCGGTGGGGAGGAGATCCACCGGATGAGTCACTGGAGCGACCAGAGTGGTAGGAGGACAGTTGGCAGAGGAGGGAGTCTTGAAGCCTAAGGCAGGACAAAGTACCAAGCAAGAGGGGTATGATGGTTGGTGTCTGAAGCAGTGGAGAAATCAAGGATGAGAATGGGGTTAAAGCACTGAGGCTGGGCCCAGAAGAGGGCCTTGGTGATGGTGGAAGCCAGATCAGAGGGGTGGAACCGAGGTGGAGCTGGAGAGGTGGTTGTTAGTGGCACACTGAATGAAGTTGGAGGTGAAGGGGAGACAGGGCTTAGCAGGAGGGGTTGGGGATTGGTTTTGGATGACAGGGCAAACCAGATTAATTATGCATGGGAGGGAGGTTACGGAGTAGAGAAAATCTGCCTGGTCACAGAGCAGTGAAGCCACAGATGAGTACAGAGGGCCCTGTGGGTGGTCAATAGCGAGCGACTGAGCGCCGAGCCAGTCAAGATGGGTAGGTGATTGTGTGGATAATTAAATAGATCGTGTGGATAACGGAATAGCGAGTAGACTGTGTGGATAATGAAGCAGCTAATAGGCTATGTGGATTATTATATAGACCATCTGGAGTAGCTAATAGACCATACACATAATCAAATAGAATGCATGGATAACAGAGTAGCTAATACACTGGGTCGATAATCAGAGTGCAGCGGAGAGCATGAGGCAGACCATTTCTTTACTCTCTTGTGTTCCTCTTTCTCCCCTCAGAGACACACTTTGTTGACCGGCACCGAGAACAGCTCATCCAGCGAGTAACTCTGGTCGAGGGTGTCCTGGATAAGCTGCTGGGTAACGTGTTGGACTCTGAGCAATACATGACCATTACAGCCGAGAAAACCAACCCAATGAAAATGCGGAAACTGTATGAATTCATGCTGAGCTGGAACAGGTATTGCAAGGACCAGCTCTATTGGGCACTGAAGGACAAGTGCAAGTTTCTTGTTGCAGATCTGGAAGGGGAATGAAGGCAATGAACACCCTTCCCCCCCTACACACACACACTGCCTTTCCCTTTGCTTCCTGTGTGTGTTCCAGGGAGGGAAACCCATTTCTGGCTGTTCCCCATGTTTCCAAAGATGTCACAACTGATTAAGACAAGGGCTGCATGAAAACTTTCCCTTGAAATGATTTTTCAATGGAAAATCAGGTTTTTAACAAGATAAAATATCTGTTTTCTGAGAAAAAAAATTTATTGTTGAAAAACAAAACACCCGAACCAAAAATATTTCAGCCAAAACCTGAAATATTTCAATTTGGGTATAACTTATGGGAGGTGGAGTTCACTTGCCTCATCCCCATTCTCATCTATGGACCAGGGCCCTCAGCTGGACTACATTTCCCATGATGCACCATGGCCAAGGATTCCCATGATGCAACTGCCTCCTCACCAAAAGGAGAGACCATGGTGCATGCTGGAGCCCAGACTACAGTGGAGAATGGGGTCACGGGGCACCCAAATTTCAACTCCCATTTGGAACTGCGGCAGCATTCCCAAATCAACATATTTTGGTTTTAGTTTATGTGTTTGTGTTTTTTTGTTTGTTTTTGCTGAAAAGTTGAACTTTTCAGTGAAAAATCTGGACACGAATGAAATCTATTGATCTGTTTTTGTTTGGGGGTTTTGTTTTGTTTTAAAACGTCAGTGGAAAAATCTTTCATTTGCCATCAGCAGAGCCCCAAACCAAACTGCAGCTCCCTCTCCGTGCCTTGCTCTCCCAGCCACTTCAGCCCCTGGCTGCTGCATTCTGTTGGCAGCTGAGTGTGAAGGGCTGGAGGCTGAACTGAACAGCTGCTGGGCTGCGCTGGTGAGGACCGCAAATCTGGGGGGGCATCTCCATTTTATCCTAGTCCCTGGGAAGATAAAGCCCTGAATCCCCACAGCTACATTCTGTCCCACCGCATCCCTCCCTTTGGACTCAAAAAGTCCAGAGATGCCCTCCTAGAGTTTAAAGCCAGAAGGGACCATTAGATCATCCAGTCTGACCCCCTGTGTAGCCCTGGCCCTTACATTTCACCCAGTTACCCCTGCACTGTGCCCAATAACCTGCATTTGACTAAAGCCTCTTCCACAATGGCAGTCAGTCAGGATTTGAAGACACCAAGAAATGGAGGATTCACCACTTCCTTTGGGCGTTTGTTCCACCCTGAGTGAGAAAAATTGGTGCCTGATTTCTAGTGTGAACTTGTCTGGCTTCAGCTCCCCAGTCCCGGGTTCTTGTTCTGTTTTTCTCCAGTAGATTGCAGAGCCTCGTACACTGCAGTGCCCTTCCCCCACTCTCTCACTTGCATTACAGACCCATTCGTCCTTTGTATCAGGGCTTCGGGCAAGGCAGTTCCACCGCTGCCAGGACGAGGCTTTGCTCTGCTTCTCCCCAGACACACACACGTCCCCCAAGCCAGAACCTGGCTGCTACCCTGGGCCTTTGCTGTCCATCTAAGTCCACTAGCATCAACCCCTCAGGGCACTGTCGGGAGAGGGGGCTGCCTCTCACCAGCCTGCTGAAAGGGGAAATCACTGTAATTCTCACATTAACCCAATAGGGGCTGGTTATTGTTATTATTTTAACATAGAGCAACTTTTGTACCTTTGTATTTAAATTAAAAAGAAGGTGGTACCTGTCTGAGAGTAGGGCAGTCGCTCATTAGTGCCAGCCATGGTGGCAAGGAGGATTTTGTGGTTGGGGGTGGAGGCGGGTGCAAGGGAGAAAACAGCAGCTGCTGGGTGGGAGGGAGAGGGCACTTGGACTGCGATGCGCAGGGCGGAACCCTGAGCCAAACTTTCCCAGCCCCAGCTGTGTGGGAAGGGGATGTGGATGGGGCAGAGTCAGGACTGGGTATTCCCTGTGTAAAAAACAAAACCGACCCAAATAGGGCAAAGGCTGATGCCCTTCGGGGTGTCATCAGTGCAGCTGGGAGTGTGCCTGGATCCATGGCCTTGTGCTAGCAGGCAGGAGCAGCGGAAGCTCTTAAAAGTGGGGGGGCATGGGCACCTGAACCCCCTGTAGCACCCCGACACCCAGAGGCTCTGCCCTGCCCCTTCCCCTAAGACCCCACCCCACACTTGCTCCTCTCCATCCCCTCCCCCCATTGCTCGGCCAGTAAAAGTGGGTGGGCCATGATCTCCTGGCCCCCCCCGTTCCAGCACCCCTGTTAGGAGGGCTCGTGGTAGCCTGCTAAAACTGGCTGTGTAGCCACTGCAGCTTGCCCTGGTTTTCAGGCTGGTGTGGGGGGAGGCGGGAGGAGGGGTGTCGGCTTGGGAGCCTGAGCTCCAGCCTGAGCAGCAACATCCAAGCAATGTGTCTACACAGGTATTTTGTAGCCTGCTGCCGTGAGCACTCTAGCATGAGTCTGTGGAGCTGGGTGGGAAGTCTCGCTCCCAGATGTAGTGTAAACGTACCCTCAGACCCCAACGTGTGACAGGCTCAGACAAGGGCGTGTCTCTCTCTCCAAGGATTAGGGGACACTTGGGGGCTGGTCTCATCCGCTCTAGAGGCCTGAGGGGCAGGAGTCCAGGAGGAGAGCCTACCATGTCAGACACCGAGCTTGGGAAGGGAAAGGGAGTGAAATCCAGGCTGTGGGGGAAGGGATCCAGCCCTGGGCTTTACTTCCCTCCCTCTAACCCCCCCCCTGTGGTGTACCTGTTAATCCGCCCCGGAGGATGGGGTTAGACCCCTGCCAACTATGGTGATCTCCCTTATACCTGTTGCCCACTGTGTAGCATGCTCACTTGGGATGTGGGAGATGCCAGTTCAGTTCCCCACTCGGCCTGATGTAGAGCCCTTGGGTCTCCCACCTCTCAGGAGCATGCCCTGGCCGCTGGCTACAGGATAGTCTGGCGTATGGCTCCCTCAGTCTCTCCTGCTGAAGCTTCTTCTTGCAGTATAACGAAATAACTAGTCATGGGCCCAAAGACTGGAACTTGGGGCTGGCATAGCCCAAGTAAGTGCCCTGCCAGGCTACAGAGTCATTTGTTCTCTGGCTGGCACAGAGACTACTCAGGTATTTTATACAAAGTGGAACAGCTTCTGCAGAAGATCTTGAGAAGGAGCCAGTCTAGGACGGCCCCTAATCCAGGGCTCAGGGCACTCACTGGTACTATAAGAGCCCCCAGTTCAAGTCCCTGCTCCAGTGGCTGTTTAACTGTGTATCCCGAGTGGAACTGCTCCAACAGGAGAGACCGTGCAAACGCTGTCCCAGAATACCCCCCTAGGCCAGGGGTTAGGACGCTCTTCTGCACAGTGCAAAACCCAAGTTCAAGTCCTTTCTCCGCTCAAGCGGAGCAGGGAATTGAACCAGGGTCTCCCACATCACATGTGAATATGCTAACCACGAGAATACAGCAGTAAGAGCTTACTTCCCCCCCCACACCCGTTTCATATGCCTTTCATTTCCATTGCTTTCATGTTAAAAAGTGCCCTAAAATGACCCCTTCCCCCAAACGTCATTTTGTTTACAGCTTGTTCAGTTTGGCTGCACTCGGCTCTGGTGATGAGTTGGTCTGAGAGCTGTCAACAAGGGATGCTGGAAGCTCCCACCCACTGACCAAATGAAAGAGGGAGAGAGATGGGGTTGGGGGGAGGAGAAAAGGGGGGGGTGAGGGGAGCTAGAGCGAATGGAAGTGGGAGGCAGAGCCCTGCAGCGGGACTGGAATCCTGCAGCCATAATAGCTGCTGGTGTCCCAGCACAGGGGCTTGGGCACTGGCTTAGGCTACAAGAGACCCAGGTTCACTTGCCTGCTCCGCTATGGACTTCCTGTGTGACCTTGGCCAAATCACTTAGCCTATCTCTGCCTCAGTTGCCATAGGCACGATGGGGATAATGGCACTGGGCTGTGAGGATAAATACACTAAACATTGAGTGGGCAGTGCTTTGAGATCTCCTGATGAAAAGTGCTGTATGAAACAGGCATGAGTATCATGAAGCAACCTGACTTGGGATGCAGAGGCTGGAGGAACGGGGGGAACACCGGGGAGAGAGTTGCAGGAGCCAGAGGGTGGGGGGGAATGATAGTGCGGGGGGGGGGGTTGGGGACACAGGAACTGCTGGGGGTCAGCAGAGGGGGAGGGAAGAGGAACTGGGGGAGGGTTAGGTTCTAGGAGGGTGTATAGGCACCAATGTGGGGCAGGATAGTAGCACAGTGGGAAGGGGGAAAGGATTATAGGAGTAACGATGGGGTGGGGTGGGGGGGCAGAGGGGTCTGTAACCACCTCAGAAAGCTTTTCCCTTTCTTTATCAAAGCTCTGACGTACCCATAAAAGGTGATTGCACGTTTCTTCTGCCTTACAGGGCACACAGAATCTGTCTTTGTGTCTCTTCATCTGAAAAAGATTTTTGTTTGAGCCACAAAACAAAAGCACTTCCTGCGTGCATGCTGTCCAGCCCCGAAATATGTCGTAATCCTCAGCTCTAGGGCACAGTTGAGATAATCAGCTTCCTCTATTTCCATTAGAACAATTTTTTTTGCCATTCCCCTTTTACATTTTTCTGCACCAGGCTTTTGAATCCCTACTTACTCAAGGGTATTTCTGTGTTAATCCTTCCATTTCTCACCGTGTTTTTAGCTGCTTTGTTGGCCATTTTGTTCCCTGTTATCCCAATAAGCACTGGGATCCAAGCTAATGCTGCCTGTATCCCCATCTGTCATAACTCTGTTGTTAGAATATAATTTTGTTGATTAAATCACTTCTACATATTGAGATTCCCTTTTATTATCCCCATAACACCTGAGATTGAATCCAAAAATATGACTGCTGCTGCTGGGCGTACGTCCAAGATCCAGTTTAATGCTAGCATTATTGCTACTGGTTCAGCTGTCGTGACTGCTACATAATCAGAGATTCTTTTGGATGCACTAATTCCCAATTTTGGTATACAATACACCATCCCTAATATTCCTGTTTTTTTTTCTTTTTTGGACCCACCTGTATATATGTAAGCAGGGTCTACTTAATTCTTCCCTAACAGCTACCTGGGACGGGGAGAGACTTCAAGAGCAAACTGTATTTACATGAACACACCTACTCTGCTTAGATATCCAGCAGATAGAGCAGTGTGTTCCCAAAGTGATCAACTTTGGCTGGTGTTGGGTGATAAATCACCTTAGTACTGAATACAGCATTAGTGAAATGCTGTTACCAGTGTTGGCATTATTGTGAATAAAGGGGTGCAGAACTGTACCTAATGTGTCCCAAGTGAGAGGGGTCACCCTCAGCTGAAAGGACCTTGTTAAGCCAGGGGCTCAAATGCCAGAGCCCTTTAGAAGTAAAAAGGGTGCGGATGGGTGTTCCAGCCAGGAGATGTGGCTCCTTCCCCAAGAGTCCTTCCTGTACTAGTTTAACTTCTTCCCCTCCACTCTTCAAAGAAAGGGCTAAATAGGGTTATTAGGAGCCTCTTTGTTATTTTAAATGCTCAATCAGAGCTGAAATTAGTTGTGGTAGGACTGTGTTTCTGCCCAGCCTCCTAAGAGCTAAAACTCACTAGAGCTGAAATCACTTGAGATAGGGCAGTGTTTCTGTGCAGCCTGCAAAGAGCTAAAAATTACTAAGAGACTAATGTGCAGAGGTCACAGGAGAGAGGCTGGCGGCAGCAGAAGGTGACTGACAATCAGCTCGTGAGGCAGCAAAGAACCGTGGCTGGTGAGATGGCCAGCAGAGAGGAACCAGGGCTGGCGGGGTAGCCAGGTGTGAGGAGCAGTGGCTGGCAAGGCAGCAGAGTGAGGGGCCAGCAGGGCCCTAGAGAGAGGGGTGGCAAGCGAGTGTCCAAGCAGTGGAGTGATCGAGGTGCCTCTTTACTCCCTCCTCCACCCAGGGTGGGAGGTGAACTCTACAGATGCACTTCTGAACTCTAGGTCTGCACTGACCAAGGACAGGAACTGTGAGTGGGGTGCAGAGAAGGGACAGGCATGTTAAAGGGACTTTTGCCGGACTTAAGAACCTAAGGGGGAAAGGGCACTGCCTAACTTACTTGAGGGTGGGTCTTTTACTCATGGTTTATGTTTATGAACCCTGTGTGCAGTGTTTTTCCAAATTAATGCCAAGTCACTCCCATCCTTTTATTAAAAGTTTATTTTCTACACTCAGACTCTGTGCTTGTGAGAGGGGAAGTATTCCTCTCAGAGGCACCCAGGGGTGGTGTATAATTTTCCCGGGTTACTGGGTGGGAGCTTGAGCCGGTTCTATGTTGTATTGATGGAAAAGAACCCCTAGATATTGAACCTGGCCCTGGTTGCTGCTGGCTTCACCTGGCAGAACCGTTACAATATATTTGACAAAACTGACTCCACTCCTCATCTATAGACTGGTACACTTCATTTTCAATACCTATTTTACCCTCAAATTTATAAGATAAATCTAAATCCACGTTCAGGCATGCGACTTTCCATCCCTAACTAATTTTCCCATGACTAAAAGTTTTGACTTCGTTCAGGTTTTCCCTTGTCTTTCAGCTCCTGCATGTGGAGTTCTAACAGCATGTGTTTGTTACGGGGTGTGATTCACCACTGCAGTGCCTCCTGCTGGCCATCCTGGGAATTAGCTCTTGGCCCTTCCAGCCTGCCTTCAGCTAGTGGTGTCATGCCTACCATCACTGCTGTCTCCACTCTTTGGACTCACGTTGCTCCCC